TGGATGTTGTAGTCAGAGAGGGTCCGCCCATCCTCCAGTTGTTTGCCGGCAAATATCAGACGCTGCTGGTCAGGGGGGATGCCCTCCTTGTCTTGGATTTTGGCTTTGACATTCTCGATGGTGTCATTGGGCTCAACCTCGAGGGTGATGGTCTTGCCCGTCAGGGTCTTCACAAAGATCTGCATGTCTGCGTCCGCTCGGCCGCCTCGTTGAAGAGAAAGAGCTAGTTCTCAGAATTTAGACAGTTTTATTTCTTCCTTGTAACTTTTGAGGTTTTTGTTTTATTGAGGGAGGCCTTGCTATTTGCAGTTCAGGGTATGCTTGAGCTCCCAGTGACCCTCGTGCCTCAGCCACCTGAGTGCTGGTATTATGAGTAGGTGGCAGCATTCCCAGCCTAAATTTTTGTTGTAAATTCATGTGTATGTGTGTGATTGCGCTGGCTGGAACCTTCCTTCAGTGTTAGGCTGGATGGTAGTAGAGAGAGTGTACATTCTTGCTTTCAAACCGTCCCCTTGTATAACTGGGTTTTTATTTTGCTTTTAGCTGAATTTCAGGTTGAGGATGTTTAGCTGAAGCTTTGAATGCTGGGGTGGTTTTAGTTTTGTTTTGAGACCGGGTCTCACTATATAATTGAGGCTGGCCTTAAACCCACTATGTGGTCCAAGCTGGCCTCAAAGCGGGCAGTCCTGCCTTAGCCTCCCAAGTGCTGGGACTGCAGGTGTGTTACACCATGCCTGGCTGAGACCTTCGAATTAGATAATTTTAGAATTGAGAGTTTTGTGTAGTGTTATCTTTCTTACAATATTTGTAAAGTTTGTGGTAATGTATCTCTCATTTTTGATTTTGTAGTCTGTGTTTTTAAGCTTTGTTTTGTTTTTGTGAGTCTAGCTCAGGATTCCCCCACCACAGCAGGGCTTGCAGGTAGCTCAGTGTTGTGGGCATCTGTCTGCCTTATGCTTGGACTGTATGTAGGCACTTGGCTCCCTGGCTGTGTTTTGTCAAATGGTGGGACTCAAATCTGAGCATAGCATTTTTGTATTTACAGTGATTGGTAGCATTTTGAGGCTAAGGGAGAAATATTCTGCCTGTCTCAGTGAATTAAAGTCCAAATATGAGCTTTATATCACATAGGTAATTTGAAAGTGCAGTGGTGTACAGATATGCTGTACAAATGCTAACCACTCCAAAACATAGTTTACTAGTACTAATTTCAGGCAAAAAGATAGGGATAAGTTTCATTTCTTTGAGCCCTTGTACCCCAATCTTTGAGTGTGTCCTGTATCTCTATTTCTTTCTCTTTTTTTTTTTTGGCAGAACCAGGGATTGAACTCAGGCCCTTGCGCTTGCCGGGGGAGCGCTTATTCCACTGAGCCATCTCCCCAGCCCCCTATATCTCTATTTCTAATAAGTCTTTATGTCTGTTTCACTGACATATCCTGAAAATTTACTTTTCTGTGATAGGAGTCAGTGATTCTATAAATTTTGTTAATTATCCTTGAGACAGGAACTTACTATGTAGCTCAGGTTGGCCTTGAACTCACAGCAATCTTCCTGTCTCAGCCTCCTGAGTGTTGGGATTATAGGATGTGCCACTGCATCAGGCAAACTTACTTTAAGAAGGTGGGGCAAGTTCCATTTCTGCCTCCAGGACCTCATAGAGCCAACCCAGTAACATACTTCTTTGCAACCACAAAGGCTTGTAAGAAGAGGCATCTAGAGGGTGACTTTGGTTGGTACATAGATCTTCAAAGCTAATTACTTCCAAACTAAAGTTGCTCATGATGATAAGCCTTATTGATTGCTAGGTAATAGTGCGTGTGTGTGTGTGTTTTAAATGTATTTTGTATGAGGTCTCACTACGCAGCTCAGACTCATATTGATCCTTCTGTTTTCAGCCTCCCCAGCACTGGGATTACAGGTGTGCACCACCACGCCTGGACTCAATTGCCTGCGCAGTGGACCCTGGGGGGTGGGGCTGGTACAGCATGCCGTGTCATGTTGGAGATCAAACCCCTGTCCCTGAGTTTGCCTAGGGCACTTAGTCCGCTGAGCTATCTGGCCATGGCCCTTGTATTGTAATTTTTTTTTTTTTTTTTTTTTTTCAGAACCGGGGATTGAACTCAGGTCCTTGTGCTTGCCAGGCAAGCGCTTACTGTACAGAGCCATCTCCCCGACCCTTGTAATTATTAAATGTGCCTAAATTGTAAATAGGTGAGACAGTGTCCTTTAAAGATTAAAAACTAGGTAACAGTTACATCTGTAAATAAGTATATTCTACTTAGGAAGGACTTTTTTTGTCTTTTTGAAAAGGCCTTTTCATTTTTGTTTCTTTGGGTTTTTTGCTTTTAAAATGTGGAAAGTTTTCTCAACATACATGTAACTTTCTGTCAGAATGGGATGACATAAACTCATGGTAATGTTAGTTGTTTCCAGATTGTATCTTCAAAAACTATTTTACATTTCCAAATAACCAAGTATAAATTTCACTGACATGCTGAATACTTAGAGTTTAACCATTTCCCAGAACCTTGTGACCAACTAATTGTAAATACTTTCTGAAATCAGTATATTATAAATTTAATTATGTATGTAAAAACTGAAGAAAGGAGAGATCCTTTGGATATGTCGTGAAACCATAGTCATGTTATTTTTGCTAAAGTTAATTGTATTTCACGAAATAAAATTTACATTGAAAGTGTATAGTGTAATTTGTTACTTTGTGTTGTGAAATAACCACATTCTTTGGAAGCATTTAGGTCACCTAGCACAATTACCTTTTGCATATGTAGAGAAAACACTAAAAAAACTTTTAGCAAATCATAATGCCGCGTGGCATTGTCAGTCACTACAGCCACTGTGGGATCTATACAGTACTGTATTTTCTTTTTTAAAGGTAATAAATTTAGGTAAAAGTTATAGAATTGGATAAAGATGACTGACTAAAAAGTTACTTTATACCAAAATGGAAATTTACATGTATTTTTAGAAGAAAAACCCCCTCAATAGTTCTAGTGTAATAGTATAATTGTTAGGATCCTATGTTTGCTCTTGATTTCAAATTTACTTAGTAAAGCTTTATAACGATTAACTATTTTTAAAAAGGCATAAGCTGGGTGTGGTGGTGTACCATTTCATAATCCTAGCACTCGGGAGACTGAGGCAGGAGGATCACTGAGTTCAAGGCCAGCCTGGGAAGTGATTTCAAGGGCAGCCTGAACTGCATAGCTGTCTCCAAAAGACCAAAAAAGAAGTGGGGCATAGAGTAAAAATATATGATGTTTTAGGTTACTTTTCTTCTTGTGAATAGACCTGTTAAGAACGTTTTACTGTTTTAAAAAAACAGCCACCATTTTACACATACCATTTCCATTCATTTCATGTGTCTAGTCACGTTCAAAATTTCTTTTGGCCGCTCGTAAATTTTCCTGAGTGCACTTTTCTTCATTTACCAAGACCATAAATTAACACCACTCATTTTGTCATCTTTTTCTTTTTTGGTTGCTTGTCTTTTTTCTTTGTAAAAAGGCCATTAGCTCACATATTCCATCCGTTTTGTTCACAAGCGACCCCAAGTCTGTTCTGGGGATTACCTGTGAAGTTCTGTCTTTATGTTCCAAAGCAGGCCCTTCTGAGACTGATGATGTTGATGAAAAGCTCCCTCTTTCGAAGTCTTTGCAAGGTAGAACTTTTTCACTTCCATTTTCCCACATCTTGTTTGTATTTAATGTTTCTTTATATTGGACAGACTGTTTTAATATTTATTACTGTGTTATTTTCCAAATGGAAAAGCAAAAAAAAAAATATATTGGCCTTTTTTTTTTTTTTAACATAAATGAACTTCACAAGCAACAATTTTTCAAAACCAATTTTCCCTTTTGTGAATCTAGTAATGAATCTCGAAATGGGTACATGACACACTTTCATGTTTAAGGTAAAGTACACATTTATACCTTATATCAGAATAGCCAGAAGTAAGGTTACTATTGCATAGTTAGTGATGTAAATATTGATAAGGTCATATTGATAGTCTATGGAAGGATTGTGAACTATCACTGGTAAATCCCTAAGTTTAATTGGTTATCGTTTTTGGAATTTTGTATACTCTTCCCAAATTTGCTGATCATAGGCTGTTAGTGATGGCTTTTATTTCTATCTACTGTTCTGAACATGTAAGATTTATTTTCTTTAGATTTACTTTGTTAAAAAAAAGGTTTACTTTATAATACGAATGTAATTGTCTGTTTCAGATTTTGATAGAGCAAAAAAAGACTCAGAAATTGTTGTTTACGTGGACAGCCACCTTCACTGATCTTACCCAGCCTATCCCTTTCCCACCAGCCTCTTATCCTTTGTCCCTTTGACTTCTCATTTCTGTTTCCTTTGACTGCAGTCAGAGAACTTTGAACAGCCCCTTAAATGTACAAGTTAAGGTAAAAAAGAAGAGGAAGGAGTCTGTAGAGAGAGGACATAGTTTAAAAATTAATTAAAGGTTGATTTATGAGTGTAGATTCACCTGTAGTTTTGAGTTCCGGGTGAGTTCTTTACAGTATTAAGTGAAAAAGATTTCTAAGATAACTGTGCCATATAAAGATAGATAAAAACTTTGAGCTTAGTATGGCATTTTAATAACATTTTTGAGATTTGGATCAATATTATTTAAAAATCAGGATCAAGTATACTTACAGCTTAGACCTGAAACATTAGTAAACTTCTGCATTTAGTTATCAATAGATAATGACAATTAGTCTGTCTTCTCCCTCTACGTGATTTATTTTTCCTCATAGGTAATGTATTAGAGGCAGTATTTGTTCCCTTTCCCTGTTAGTAGTTTACATAGTCAAGGATCTAGGATGCACACTGGGGGCACCTTGGGCTCTTCCTCGTGAGTGCCTCTTGATATTTTAGGTTTTCTTGTGAATAGACCTGCTCTAGCAGGATGAGCCTGTTTACTTTGTGACTGCCTAACCTGATATGTTGCTTTATGTTCCAGTTTTTAGAAGCAGGCAGATTATATTACCTGAATTAAAATGCTTTTGAGACTAAAGGTAGTATCTTAAATTTTAACTTATGCATTTCCTTTAAGCACTTGATTAAATCATGGGGATTGAATTTCTTTAGCTTCTACCACAGTGAGCGTGGACAGCAGGACATATCCACAGCAGTCTAAACTTATTTCTCTGGACTTGCTCAAGTCTCTGAGCCAAACGAGAATCTACTCTGATTTGGTTTTGGCTGTTTAGTCACTGACAAGTGAGCCTGAGCCTGCAGCGCGACGGCGCTTTCTCAGGTCCCCAGCCCTCAGTGTCAGCAGAGAGCAGCAGTGGCTAGTGCCCTCCCGAGCCGCTTAGCCTTACTATGTGTCACTGTTTATATGTTCAAGATACTTTAGAAAATGTCCGAATTTATTACTGAGCTAAGGAGTTATTTTATGTATGTTTACTATACCTTGAATTGTTTATAATGTCACCTAGTCTCCTTTCTTCTTCCCGTGGCACGGTTTTTATTGGTTTAGTATATACCGTCTGTTTTCTTTTTAGGAAGCCATCACTCTTCAGAGGGCAACGAAGGAACAGAAATGGAAGTTCCAGTAGAAGGTTAGGAAAGAAAGGGGGGGGGTTTATTGTGCCATAGACGTTTTATATTGTCTGCTATAACCTACATTATTTGGATATAAAAAGATGACTGTTTTGGTCCTTTCCTAGCTAAGATTTCTGTGTAAAGATCTGAGACAGAATGAGTCTATTTTACTGATGGAGCAGATGGGCACAGGAGCTCTGCAGTAAGTAAAGCTCCACGTGGTGCACAGTGCACTGGGTTTATTTTGTTTTCTTTTGCCATATTAAAAAATCGTGGGCCAGGGAGATAGCTCAGTAGAATAGGCACTTGCCTGGCAAATGCAAGGTCCTGAGTTCAATTCCCGATACCGCCAAAAAAAAAAAAAAAAAAAAAAATCTTTCAAGGATAAATGGCTTCAGTACTTCAAAATTAAAATGATTTCTGACTATAGTCATATTTCATTTAAAAATTACTACTGAATCCTAATCTTTTAGTAAGGGAGTATATTATTAAGTTAATAAAGTTTATGGTCTTATTTTTATATTCACAACTGCTCTGGGAATGACTTTCATTTTCCAGCTATATGACTTTGATTTTAGGACTGAATGTTCAATCACAAGCTCTTTTAGTTGTAGAATAATCAGTCAAACCACTACCCTGTTGATGACTTCCCGCTCCTAAGAGGGCTCAGTAGCTCAGTAGCTCAGTCCCAGGAGGTGGTGTACATTGTAGATTCTCTCAAGGAAAGTGACTGCGAAGGTAACAGTGTTGTTTGGGAATGAACATTTCTCTCATAAATTGATTATGTTGTGTCTTACACATGATCTTTTCTAGAATAAAAAGTGAATCTATTCTGAAACTTCACATTCCTTACATTTGCTATTTCACTTTATTTTAGAAAGTGGTTGGTTTGACTTTTACCTTCTGTGAATGAAGGAGCAATTGTAATGTCCTTGGGACATGGCTGATCTTTCCAAATTCAGTCCTGGTTTTAGCATAATTGGGATATATTTCTCTAAGAAATACTGTTACACTAGTCTCAAACACTATGTTGTATTTCTTTGTCCTGTCTTTTTATAGCTTGGTTTTGGTGAACTTTCCATGCTTTGCTGTGGGGAGGTGATCGCTCTCCTCTCCGTGGCAGCCTCTTGCACCCCAGACAGGCAGCATTCGTGACAGCCTCGCAAGAGACACGCGTGGGTGGAGGCTCATCACAGTTGACAGTCCTGTCATTAGAGAGCAGGCTTTGAAAGACTTGGTATCTGTATTTCAGTGTTAACTGAGTTGAGTTGAACCTGAGTTGTGGTCTTTTTTTCTTTACTAACAAGAAAACAATCTTTGGCAAATCGATTAATCGCTCAACCTTTGCAAAATGAATGAGGGCTAATGAAAATACTCTTCAGCTAAACTGCTAGCACTAACATTCCAATATATGTTTTGTGTAGCAACAAACATAAATACACTGCTTAGTTTTAAACTGTAACTTACGTACAAAGAGGCAGTATTCATGTATTCATTGGCCGTAGTCGATTTCTTAGTGTGAGGTCTCTAACGTGAAGCATAGGCTGTCGTTACACTGGGCAGTGTGAACCACTCCTAGAATTCCTGCCTGGAGGGGAGAAACAGTGTCTAAAATAGAAGGCGTATGGTTTTGTTTTTATCTTATCATTTTCTAGTATAGCAGGAAAATAACATTGTTATAATCAAATTCATCCATGAATATGGATTTTTTTTAGTCCATAAATGCAGGTAATTTGGTATTATCTAATCATATTCCAGAGTGTTCCTTTTTCCCTGTTTCTAATCAAAAGGGTCGAATTTTTTTATAAATATGAAATGAATTAAAATTTTATTGTAGGCTGCTTTGGGAGTATCACATCAGTAAAATGTTGGAACATATGGAAAATGCTTAATAATGAATGTCATTTTAGAATTTTATTTTTTTCAAGATTCTACTCAACATGTCCCTTCAGAAACAAGTGAGGACCCAGAAGTTGAGGTGACTATTGAAGGTTAGTTATCTAAAAGCCTTAATTCCAAAAGTTTACTTCTGGTCATAAAAATTTGTGTCACATTCACATTGCTAAGTATGCATCATTCATTCTTAAAGGAAACTTGAAAGAAGAATTCACTTAGGCCGGTGTTCGTGCGGCCAAAACAGCCCACTTCCCAGCAGTGCACCCATGCTTGGGGTATTTAGACAACGGCACTGCGCCGCGGAAGGTCGTGCTGGCCCACAGGCAGAGCGAGCTGTTCTTCCCATCAGGATCAGTGGGGACCAAAAAGACAATTATGACCAGACCTGATAGACCACTGGGTTGTAGTTGGAGGGGAAGCCCCTGATTTCCACTTAGGCAGAGTGAAGCAAAAAGTAAGCTGAGTTGGTACATTTTCACCTAGTTATTTACTTACTTAGTTTTTTGAGATAGGGTCATGCTGTGTGGCCTCGGCTGGCCTCGGACTCCTGGGCTCAGCCAGGGTGCGTGAGCCTTCGCATAGCTGCAGCTGTGGGCTCCCGCCGCCTTCTAGTCAGTGCTGTTTACCACAGTCCCCTCCCTAAAGTACTGCAGTGCTTAGTGGTGAGCATGTTGCCTTTTACAGCTGTTTAGAGATAGGAGCTGCCGGGATAGTTTAATCTATAGCTAAGGTTTCTCCAAATCTAGTTTTTTCTTTAAAAAAGAGCAAAAGCGCAAGTAGGCCTTTTTGTTAAAAAACTACTAACAGTATCACTTTCCATCTTGGTAGTTGCTCAGTAGGATGGGAGTTTTCCTTCAGGCTAACACCTCCTTTCCCCGCAGGTCGCCCCCTCCTGGGAGCGGCCGCAGCGTCTCTGTGGCACCCTGCCCGCCATGCGCTCCTGCGTGTCTGGTGCAGGCTCTTCTCACAGCATTAGTTTAGTTTTCTAGCTGCTGCATAACCTCTCTTGGTGTGCGGGCTTGGGCTCTTGCTCCCTTGCTGTGCAGCTTTGTTTCTGATTCTGGGTCTCCAGCCTGTCCCCTGGTGTCACTTAGCTATATACAGTGCGGGGCCACTTGAGGTTGCTCAATGTTTTTGCCTTTGCTGCTTCTCTAAGTTGATTGGTACCTTCTGCCTAATATAAGAAATCTTTTTCATACCATTTGTTAATCTTGACTGATTAATACCTAATTTTTTTCTTGTTAATGGAATTTTAACCCAAAAGTTTTTGAGTTTTCTTATTAATGGAATTTAACCCAAAAGTTATTGAATTGTTTTTAGTCTAATACTAAATAATTCAAGTTTTATTCCTTTTTGTCAAAAATCTAACTATGGAGGAGAAAATTATAGCAGCATGTAAATAGTATAAGACAGCTTTGTCATGTTCTATAGAAGTATGAAAAGTAGCCGATTATTAATATTACAGAAGTAAATATTTTAGATAAGAGAATAGCCAGATTGATATATCAAATCTTAAAGTAGAAGTTATATTTAAATTGTTTAGAAAGTAATACCTGAACTCACAGGACATTTAGAGAGATTATAAAAGTCAAGAATTAAATGGATTGTGAACTTGAAGCATATGTAAATCTTTTCAACTTCGGTTCTTTATAGAGGGAATGACAACTTTTATTCCTTTTGTTTTATTGATTGATTGATTGGTTTACTGATTGGCAGTACTGGGGAGTAAACCCAGGGCCCTCACACTGGCCTACATTGCCAGTCTTTTTTTTTTTAATCTAGTTTGTATTTTTGAAATAGTGTCTTGGTAAATTACCCAAGTTACACTCAAATTTGTGATCTTCCTGCCTCAGTCTCCCAGAGTGCTGGAATTTCAGGTGTGTTCCATCACATCTGACTTCTCTTTTTTTATTCTTTCTTTCTTTCTTTATTTTTTTCAACTTAAAAGCACTTTATTTAGCTGAGCTCATCGGCGGCAAGTACTCTTGTCTCCAAGTAGGTGCGCCTCTTTTTTTAAAACTAAGTCATAGGGCCATGTCTGATTTATCGTCCAAATTTATGATCAGGCAGTAGAGTGTTGCTGTGTAAGCTGATCATTTACATATAGAAGACCAATGAAATACCAGGTCTGAGTAAAGGTAGTTTTTTCCATGGTGCAAATACATATTACAAACTATGTATCAGGCATTAAACAGGTGCTAAGTTTTATGGCCACATGTTAAGGAAAATAAAAATCAGTTTTTTTATATTAGCAGGGCAAGTCAAATGAGAAGTTACTGTGCACATCTGGCTTACTGTTTTTGGAGAGATCACTACACCATGGTGTGGTAGAAGCAACTTGTATAAGGAGTAATACAGAAAAAGATCCTTGATGTGCTGTGTTTAATGAAAAGAAAGGCCTCTGCCTTGAGTGAGTGAGGGCAGTTCATGAGGGAAGGATGACAGCTTGGAGGACAGTCTGGTTCTGTTTAAGGAAATGTTGCTCTGGGCCCAAAATACAGATGCTCCTTCCTGCAGGGATGACTGTTTTTTCCTCTTGTACTTTTCACATCCCTGCACCTGTGAAAGCGCAGTGTTGTCAGGTCAGTCCACCAGATGGTCCCACTGGGTTCTGTGTGTACTCAGGGCCGTCCTGACATGGGAGGGTGCAGGGTGCAGGGTCTGCTGAGTGTGGTACCGAGGTTCTCTTCACAAGTACTATCCCTACAGCTCAGTCAGTGGCACAAACTCTGGTTTCTTTCTCTCTCTTTTTTTTTTTCTTTCTCCTTTTTCTTTTTTTCCTTTTATTTTTGGAGACAGGGTCTCACTATGTAGCCCAGGCTAGCCTTAAACTTGTGATGATCCTCCTGCCTCAGCCTTCTAAGTGCTGGGTTTACAGGTGTGCACCACCACACCTTACTCAGTGGCTCAAATTTAAAGCATCAGTGACTTAGGTTTGGAAAGCCTTGGGATCATATGACAGCAGGCCTCAATTTTATGAACATCATGATTATGTTTTTGGCTAACTTGGGCTGTTGTCACATACATTTGCTATATGCAGAGAAAATGTTCATATTTTTTAGGTCTAGCCAACATGGGAGCAACTTAAACCAGTAAAGGGACCATTGGGGTTTTGACAGAAGTTTCCTTTAAGAGCATTGTTCCCAAGCCTGAGTCATTCACGAATGTTCATTCTGCTGTGGCCTAACGCTGTATTTGTTATTTAATTGCATTGGCTTCTTTAAATTGATTTTAACTACATTTATTTTATGATTTATTTTGTGTTTTCCTAAGTCAGCTGTCAAAAATTTTTTTCATATAGAGTTTGAAAGGTGTAACATGTAAGTATTTCCATGTGTGTTTGGTCACGTTAACACCCATTGCGTGTGCACAGTGATTGCTCTCAGAGCGTCTGTAGACTGTGCAGTTGAGTGGGTTCCATATGAAAACGTTGTCTTTAATTTTTTTATATCTGCTGAACAGTCATTTAATGAATACTCAAATTGCTTTCAGCAGTCAGCTTTAGAGGAGTTTTCTACAATTTGGATAACAGCGTTTTAGAGCTTTGATGTCATAGTGGGGATTATGTTTGCTGCAGCCAGGTCTCAGTCATCCTCCTGTGAGAGAGGGAAGAATAGGGAGATGCAAGGAGGTGGGGGGGAGAGAGAGAGAGAGAGGGAGAGGAGAGGGGGAGAGAAAGAGAGCAGAGAGGAGAGAGAGATCCTTACAGCACTGGCAAATAATTGGATGCTACATGTAATTAAAATGACATGAGACGTGTTCATTTAATCAGCTCACAATACTGTATTGAGAACCTGATGTATGCTGAGTACTGTAGTGCATGTACTGAGGATTTATTTTTTTTTTTTTTTTTCTAGCTCAGAATGCCTTCAGGGCATGTTTGGCTGGCTGCAGTTGTGGGGATCGAACCACAGCAACCTGAGGCTGACTGCTTTGTTGAAGCAGCCACTTAAACAACTGAGCTAAGGGGCAGGCCCCATTGAGGATTTAATTGAACAAAATAGGCAAATCCATTGAAGTGCTTTGAAAAGAGGGTGACAATTTCTGTCCTTACTATCTAGATGTTCCTACAGTGCTTACTTTTGATATTTTTATATTTAGACCTTGAGTGTCAGTTTATGGGTTAATTAAAAAATTGTTTTTAATCATTTATTTATTTATTTGGTATAGGGTCTTGCTACGTAGCTCGGGCTCTGAGATTACAGGTGTGCGCCACCATGCTGGGGTTTGGTGGCCGGCACAGCACACCCAGGATGCCAGGGCCAACTTGGCAGGCTGTACCAGGGATCAAACCTGGGTCCTTGTGCTTGCCAGGCAGGCACTTAGACTGCCAAGCTATCTCCTCAGCCCCAGTTTGAAGGTTAAAATGTTATCAATTTGACTGTATTGGAAATTAGACTTTTAGAAAATACTGTCTAGTATTTTCTAGCACACAGTAATGTACAGGCACACAGATCAATACATTCTAATGTAGTGCCGAAAGGGAAACAGTTTTTTCTCAACACAAATTGTTACAGTGCTGCTGACTGTGTTTTCAAAGATGCAGGGGTACTTCTCTTAGCACTGGGGGCATAGCCACTGAATGCTCCTGATGTGCAGATGTTGTGTGTTAAAATACTTTGAAATTCATTTAAAGAGATTTCAGGTGTTACTGTGTGAGAACTTTGAGTTAAGTATTGAATGTAGAGTGTGTTGAGGTGTTCGTCTTTTGCTTGTTGTGACTTTTGGCTTTTAGAGCCCTACATCCTACCTGAGGTGCCAGTGCTGAGTGGGGGCCTGGAGTGCTGAGTTGGGTCACTGGAGCTTTATTTGGGGTATTACTGCTACCAAGAAAAATGTAAGCTTTATCCTTGTGGAAAAGATTTAAGGTCGAGAGTAATACATTTTCCTGCCAGATGTGGTGGCTCATTCCTGTAATCCCAGCAGTAGGGAGACTGAGGCAAGAGAGAGGATTGCCATGAGTTGGAGACCTCTGTGGGCTATGTAGTGAATTCCAGAGTAGCCTAAGTGACACGGTGAGACCTGTCCCAACACCCTCCCCCAGTATCTGTAAAACAGTACAGACGTGATCGAAGGAAGGAACTTGAGGGTACACTTCGAAGTTCACAGCTGTTTTGATGACTTACTTCCATGAGCTCTCTGACTTAACATCCAGAGTGGACATAGCATTTTTGTCAGCTTTTTTATCAGAAACAGTTAAACCCTCATCTGTATTTATTAATGGAACTCGAGTGTGTCCCACAGGAGGGAAAGTGTGCTTCCAGCCATGTGTGCTCTGGTGACACTGGTGCTGAGCCCAGGCCTCTTGCAGGCCCGGGTATGTGCTTGGCAGTCAGCCGTGCCCTGGCCGCTTTGTGTGAAGACAGCATTCCTCAGCTGCCCACACTGGACTGGCTGTCCTCCTGCCTCGGCCTCCTGAGTAGCTGTGATGACAAGGAGTGTTCCACTTGCCCTGCTGAACCATGATTTCAGTATTTTACAATCTTTGTTGTGACATTAATTAAACAATTGCTCAATTTGTCTGTATTGAGAACGTCCATGCAACTTCCGCTTCACCCCCCCCCCCATGTTCTCAAGTGAGTTTGCAGGACAAAGTCCTGACACCAGGTAGGACCCGCCTCGCACCCCTCCAGGGCTGCCGCCGACAGTGTGGTCTCAGCTAGAGCAGTGAGAGCCCCTGGGAGGGGCTTTCCAGGAACATGGTGGCAGTCAGTGAGATGAGGGTCTGCAGATACTTAGACTGTAGGGAGATACATTAGGTTCTAAATTCACTCATTGTCTGTAAAGTATGTTAATATAAGGGCAGTATTCATAGTTAAAGCGAACATATTTTGTTTTATTCTCTTGTGACCACTATAAAATACATTTTAGTATTCTTAAAATCTGAAAGTTGGAAAGTAAGTTTTTTGTTTCTTTTTTAGTGTATACAAGGTCTCACGATACAGATCAGACTTGTAGTGATTTTCCTGTTTTCAGCTTCCCAAACGCTGGGATAACAGGTGTGCGCCACCACACGCGTCTCAATCACCGTCTCCTCGCACCCTGGGGGCGGGACCGGCATAGTACACCAGGGAGCAAACCCTGGCTATTGTGCTCTGCCTAAGCAGGTGCTTTAGTCCGCTGTGCTATCAGGCTGGCCCTGGAAAGTAAGGTTTTTAAGTGTACTATGTTTTTAGAATTGAAGGTACAAAACTTGAAAACAGTACTAAATGTTTTCCAGAATGTTTCTACTTAGGTTGGAACCTTAATCTTTCTATAGTCTTTTGAGGGTTTTTTTATTTTGGTTTCTGTGGGGTTTTTTGTTTTTCAGTTGAGGCCAGCCTCAAATTCATGAAAGTCCTCCTGCCTCAGCCTCCTAAGCACTGAGATTGCAGGCGTGTGTCGCCATGCCCAGTCTAAGCATTTTTAACTGTACAGGATTGTCATAATTGTAAACCTTGATGACATAAGCATGTCTTATTTTATAGGGAATTTGTAATTTTTGTTTTGCTTTGCATTGTTTCATTTTTGAGACAGGGTCTGGCTCTGTAGTCCAGGCTGACCTTGAGCTCATTATGTAGCCCAGTCAGGCCTTGAATTCATGGCAATCCTCCTGCCTCCGCCTCCTGAATGCTGGGATTATAGATGTGTGGTACCATGCTCAGCAGAGTTTGTAATTTTTAAATTGTTTTCTGTCAATTAAGTAGTCCTGGTGTCATCAGACCCTTAATGTTGGCCTTGGAGCCCAGGGAGATAGCTCAATTGAATAAGCACTTGCCTGGTAAGCGCAGGGTCCTGAGCTCAATCCCTGGTACCACAAAAGAAAAAAAAAAAGTTGGCCTTGAGCTTGAGCTTCCTGCATCAGCCTCTCAAGTGTTAGGATTACAGGTATCTGCCACTATCCCTGGCTTTTCTTCTAGATTTTAAAATTAGTATATATTTGTGATATATAATGATAACATTCATTTTGGGGAATTGGTACATTTAAATTTTTTGTTTGTTTTTTATATTTAGTAAGGGTCTACAGGGTCTGCAGGGTCTCACTATGTAGATCCAACTTGTAGTGATCTGCCTGTGTTCATCCTCCCAAGAGCTGGGATTACAGGCATGTGCCACCATGCCCAGTCTCGATCACAGTCTCAGTGCAGCCCTGGGGGCAGGGCCGGCATGGCGTGCTAGGGATTGAACCAGAGCCGCTGCATCTGCCTAATGCTTTAATCCACTGAGCTATTTGGCCTGCCCTGGTATATTTATATTGTATTTTAATCTTTTTTTTCCCTTCCTGGATCTCGTTCCTAATGTGGCATTATTCAACACATCAAAGTTTTTTAATAATTTTTAAAATTGTTAATATACTTTCCTAGTATGAGTGTCCCCCTCCTTAAGAAAGTACTTTTGTCTTTTCAAGCGTATAGACAGGTCTCACTGTGAATCTGTCTGGTATCAGTGACCTTGGTGCTGTTTTCTTGGATTGGAGCTAACAGTAAACATCTCCAGGTTGACCAGAAGGGAACCACTCCAGGGCGAGGCACAGGAGTGGTGCCTGGGGGACCTCGGCTGCCGGGGAGGAGGGCCAGCTCGGCCTCTGCGGGGTGCGGGCTGGAAAGCTTAGCTGGTTGTGCAGATGTTCCCGGATGTTCACCTCTCGCTCGGTCAGGACCCGAGTGCTGGGATCTCAGCTCAGCGCTGGAGTGAGGACCAGGCCTGCCTTGCCATGTTCGGGGGCCTTGTACAGTCTGCAGCTGTGGTTATTTTTGAGTCTATTTGTTTTTAAGTAAAGATTCTTTTAATAATATTCCTGATGATTTACAGATACTTCAGCAGAACTCTTACAGTGTGTTACCTGACATTTTGAGGGGCTAGAAGAAGATGGTGATGGCTCAAATAAGAAAAGCTACGGTGCAGCTTTGACTCGACTGTTAGACAGATTGAAGATCATGGCAGAGCTGAGCTGTAGACACCTCATTCACAAAAAATTACGAAACTTAGAATGGCCTTGAAATAAATAAATATATATATGCACATGGTGTTTTTATATTGTTAAAATACTTGATATAAATATGCAACCTCTTGTTTATGTATGCTAAGATTTTGTGTAAGCTCAAGTGTTTTTCCATGCACACTTTATTTTATCCTCCTTTTCTTTAGTTGTCCTGAGACAGGGTCTCCCTGTGCATTTGAAGCTCGCTATCAACTTGCTGTGTAGCCGAGGCTGGCCTTGCACTCGAGATCCTCCTGCCTCACCCTCCTCAGTGCACCATCACGCCCAGCTTTCCTTCTTTTCTTATATTTGTGTAATTTTAGGTAGCTGTCTTCATTACATTTTTTTTCTTTTTTTTTCTCGGAACCGGGGATTGAATTCAGATCCCTGCGTTTGCCAGTCAAGCGCTTATCCTACTGAGCCATCTCCCTGGCCCCTCATTTTTTTTTTCTTGAAAACAATAAAATTTGAGGCAACTATTTGAGAGAGTTTTTTTTCGGGGGTGGAGGGAATTTATAATGATTTTTAAAAAAAGAAAGAAAGAAACCAAGCCAGGAGTGGTAGCGCTTATTTCTAATCCCAGCACTCTGGAGGCTGAGGCTGGAGGATAGCCCAGAGTTTAAGGCTAGCCTGTGCTACATAGTGAGACCCTGTCTCCAAAGTAAAACAAAAAATTAATAATTAAGAAAAAGGGAGCAACCCCATATAGAACATCTGTGCCCGCACAAAATGAGTAGGACAGCAGCAGTGCGGCTTGGAAAAGTGTGTCGTATAGGGCAGTGTGGAGCTAGCGCTTGGTGTCTCCTGCCTGCCATGGCGTCCCCCTCCCTGGCCTCAGTAATGATGGTTTTCTTTCTCAAGATGATGATTACTCTCCACCTACCAAGAGACCAAAGAGCAATGAGCCGCCGCAGCCCCCAGCCCCAGAGCCTGCAAACGCCGGGAAGCGGAAAGTGCGGGAGTTCAACTTTGGTATGTGCTCTGTGCTCCCTCTCCTGCGAACTTGGATTCAGAGAAGCCAGGACCACCTCTTTACACTGTGACCTGGGCAGGTGGACATGGCTGGGTTTACCAGACAGAAGCCGAAACCATTCTGTCTTCTGATGTTCATTAAATGAATAACGCTAAATTAGTGCCAGTAAATTAGTAATTCAGTCTTTTTTTTTTCTTAGTTTTAAGTCTTTTATTTAAGACCTGTTTTACAAATTGATTTCCATTTTTATGTTATTATAGCTATTAATCTACCAACCCCTAGTTGATAATATATCCAGTTAAGGCCCAAAATAGAATAGTTTGAATAAATAGAACTTTTTTCTCAATTTCTTTTATTTTTCCTAGTGCTGGAGGTTGAACCCAGGGCACTGTACATGCTGGCAGGTGCTCATTGCGCACCATCCGGTCCTACCTTGCTACTCAGCCACGCTACAGGCTCAGCTCCTGGATCACCATTGATTTCGCGCAGGCTTGAGTCTGTGCATGCCCCTGTTCTCCAGCACTGTTACAGGTTGCTGCTGCGTATCTGTAACTGCTTACTCCACACAACTAAAACATCTTAGGGGGTCTTCTAAGTGACCCCTGGAGACCTCCCTCTTGTTTTTGCCACTTTTTAAAAATGGTACTAGGGGCTGCTGCTTCTTCACCACTGCTCCTCCCTTTTTCCTCTAGCTGTTTTGCAGTTTTTTGCCACCATGAACTGCTGTTCTCTGTCATGTGCCACTCTGCCTTGAAGCCAGCCAAGTATGGACTGAAACCTCCACAATAAACCTTTTCTTTC